GGGCGTCGGTGTGACAAGGGACTTTGGAACCATCCTCACTGACCTAACCTTCGGCGTTTAACAAAACCGAACAGCTTGTTAAATGTCGCAATCATGAGTTTTAAAATTCGCTGGCGATGGGACTGCACAGTCGGCCGCATTGGCTCTACTTCGGAAAGAGCATCACACAAAAACAGCAGCGTCTGAGCCACCGCCTAGTCGTAACCAATCACCTTTTGGTTGACTGGCCGACTCGACCTATTGCTTCCCTCCACCGGCAGGTCCCCTTGTCGCCAGTATTGCAGGACTTTACCAAGCGCAGGATAACCGACCGGTTGTTGCAAGCGAAGAGAACGACCAATTCCACTATGTGCCAGTGGTAGGACAAAGGAGACTGGGATGAGCGTGCACGCAGTGGTTGGCGTGGCAAAGTTTAGGCCTAGACGTGGCGCGTGCGTGCTGACCTACGTGCACTGGGCCACATGACCCGAGTTCTGTCCTGTTTTCAGCTTCTAAACTGAGACAGCTTCACATTGACGCCCGCAGTGTACTAATGTGTGTGGGAAATCGGTAAGTTCTATAAGCAGGCAGATCTGCGTCCACGGAAATACCCAACGTTTTGCCTTAAAAGCATCCCCGACGTGTTCGTCGATTTAGACGATTAAAAAGAACAGACATTCTGAGATACGCACTACCTGAGGATATACTTTCCTTCTGATGGCATATCACTGGGCAGCCGGAAGGTCCTCAGGGAAGGAGAGCATACTGGGATTATAGCCCCACGCTAATCCTTATCCCAGGGATTTCAGCCGACGGTCGGGGCATGTCGTACATCTAGATGCATATTGAAAAGACAGAACCTGTCTGCCGGGTTGATAGATGTAACCTGCGCGTCCACAGGTTGTTAGTGGAACGGCCTGAAGTGCAGGTTCTCGAATATGACGGTCGCGGACCAGGCAATAGTAATACCTCCAAGCTTTGCCAGACGTCGATCCACAAAGTCAGCTACCCGTGATCACAAATCAGATCGGTATTACGCGGCACGCACCCACCGCCTGGCATTACTCTGTGACCTTGAACTACTCTGTAGGGAGAATGGAAACCTCAATCTCGGAGTTCAAGAGATACATAAAAGCGCACACCGGCAGAACAAGTGGGTCGAAAATGTCGAAACAGATTGGCGATGCGACGAGACGACACAGCACCTTTCACAGAGAACTACCTTGAAGGAAGCCGGTGCTTCTCTAACGGCCGAAGGACTGTGAAAGCCACGAATCATTACCGTAAATCCTGGCGCTCTATAGCCTTTCCAAGGGATTGATTTATCAGCAGTGCAGCCCCGTCCAGCAGGTACGGAACACAGTCTGAACATAGGCTAGAAGGCTGAGTTACATACTTCCGCTGTGTGGCAGTCCTTGGTGTGAGCATTCGCTCGACTTTGTTACGGCCTAATGGATTCCCGATGCAGGAGCAGGCATACTAACTCCCATAGGAGTTTTTAACCTAACCCCTACAACAGGACCGGACCACTTCCAAAATGATCTGCTGTGGAACCAACCTGGGTTGTGCATATCCACTTCATGCGCGAGTAGCATCTACCCCCTTTAGTACGTATAAACTTGCGTGCCCCAAACGGCATTTGGCTTGGTTTCCGCGACAGCGCTCGCTGACCAAAACAACCAGTTCTATCTACTAATCATGAAGATTCCTAAAACACTAGTCAGTGGGTTAGAGTCCACTAGTGAGATGCTAACGTGGGATTAGTCAAAATACTTCGTACAGCCAATTCAACAACACAGACCCCTGAGACTTCAATTTGATAGGCGGTTTTCATGGCTCGCTTCCCCACAAAAAATAAAGCCGTGACAGCTGATACAGCCAACACGACAATTCGCAGTGCCGCATAATGCTTCTGCGCGGAAAAGTAACAAACTACAAAAATACCCGTTACCACCACTTGTGGTTTCATCCAGCAGTAGTGCCTGATGATCATGTTGTCACAAGCCGAAGCGCCAAAAATCCTAAAAAAACGCGAAGGCACCTACAGAGCGTTTAAATGCAACGAAAACTTAGATTACCCCAGGCAACATACCCGCTGGTCAAACCGTCACCTACGCTAGGCAGTTCGGGAAGAACAAGTCTGCAGCCCCGGTTCAGTTAGACAAACGGGGCGCAGCTTAGACAGAGGCAAGCCATTTTAATAGAGAGACGCCTCTCGACTCCCACATGCATAGTAACACCTAACATTCTATTCTTGCTTCGGGCGGTTGCCTGATTTTTGCCCAAAACAGGGACACAGGAAGATCTGGATGCCGTATTCTTCTTTCGATGCTGGTGATGGGCGAGTTTTTGTGATAGGAGTGGTCGTTAGGTTGCGCGGATTGGCGATTTTACGACGAACTACCCATTACGCATTGTGAGCCGGATAACTTTTTTAAGGCACGCTCCTCCGAGACTCCCCTCGATGACAGAATGAGTAAGGCTACTGTTAGTTTATGGGAAAAACCGTATATCCCTACTTCCAGTCAGTCGGAGCTCGAGCTATCGTCCAGTGTTGACGTAGTGAACACCTTACCAGTGGAACTCTGCAAGCCGGACACGGGCTGAGCTGTACAAAGAGTCAGGGAGTAGGTATCAAACCTAACTCCGGCCGAAGCTTGAACTACTGCTTTCAGTGGAACGACAGCCAGTCTACAAGCGGAAGACCCAGATGTAACATGAAGTTCCAGGGGCCGGCATCCACCGCCGGCAGAACTGTGGACAGCCTGCCTAGGAGTTAGCTAAACAATCAAGGAAGTTCTGCAAAAAAGAGCCCATGCAAGCAGTGATAGCAAGCAACCCCCAAGAGATGGAATCATGCTACCCCGAAGGAACCTTTTAAATGACAATTACTTTACGTACGTATATGCGGCAAGTGGTTGATGGATGGAAGTTAACTTGTGCACTTCTCCCCAGTTAAGTACGGTGGTAAAAAGAACGGTTACGAGGGCCCCACCAAATCATCATTTACATAGAAGCAGGGACACTCTAGGAACCGCACGCTACGAGCTGGATATTCTGTCGACCGTCACTAAAAAAGGGAACTCCAAAAAACCTGTAAGTCGTAGGTGCCTGAGCATTACCTCCAGGCAGATTGTGCTGAAGATAGTTATGTGCAGGGAGGCAGTGCTGGGATCTGGATTTGCAAAACATCCGGACCACAATGCAGTCGGAAGGACAAGGCCTACTGCCATTTGGTGTAATTGTCAATACTAAAACTCTTATTCCTTCAAAAGGCGCCTTCAGTCAGTAGTCTTGTGGCATTATCGCACAAATTGGTTTGTCAGTGGGTATCACCGCCTTCCGTTGTGAAAGCCCTAATGACAACACGCATAAGGGCGATATGTGGTAGTGCCCCGAATGCGCATTTTATGTTAAACTGGCCCTACTCGGGAGGTTATTGTCAGGTTGTAACCGACCAGCAAGTAGTGCCATGCGGCGGTGATAATATATCTACACATGATAAAATAAACAGAAAAAAAACAGGCCGTCAGCGCACGTCAGGCCAGTTTTGGGAACGTTTGTGTGCCTACCCATCAGGCCCGGGAAATGCAAGGAAATCAGTCACGACACAAATTGACCAGACTACTGTGGACAGTGAATCGGAAGTCCGTCACCGCACATAAGGACAATGGCCATACGGAATCAAACATTCCGATCGGCGGCCTGCAGTAGCGAGGTCGCCTCCCCTGGGTGTCGGAAAATGTCCAGCGCGTCGTCTCGTACGGCTGGTCCTGAGTAGGAAAATAAATTATCCGACTCGGAAATACAAACTGGAAGAGGCGCAGAGCAGACAGTAACTCGGGGAAGGTTATGGTTCTTTCCCGTGCACATCGAAATAGGAAAGATACCTCCACTGATGTGTTAGGGGGTGATTATCGTGGCACAAGCAGGCGTGCGTCCATGTCTTCAAAATGCCGACGGCACCTAAAACCGGACTCAAGCCGTCAGAACTCAAGCCCAGATTGGCGTTAGTTCCTGCACTCTGTAGCTCGTTCGCTCCAACGGTGGCATTCGGGACTCAGTCCCGTTTTGTAAACCACAAAGGAAACTGATCGTTGCCCGTAGCCTTTCGGGCATTCGGGAAACGTCAAGCAGGGTCGACTATACCGAAAGCAGATGTCTCCTGTCTGAATTAACTTGCCACAAATCGGTTACTATTCGGGATTTGTCAAGAGGGCTTCCCCCCACTGCATAGGTACTTGCGGGTATAGGCGGCTAGTTGTTGCTTCCGTTGTACGCCCAGCGGACGCAGTCCTTAGGTAAAGTTTAAATGAGATAGGACAGCCCAGGGCCGGGATTCACATATCGTGTCTGGAAGACACTTATGAGAGCGTCCTCCCGGAGAAGCCGCTGGCGGGGCAGACAATGCGGTAAAATGCCAAACCGTGGATATAGGACTTGGTACACTTTTTTAGACCGCAAATGCAAAATAGGAGTAATGCGATCGAACACTTATCCGAAGCAGTGCAATGACCTCGGCCAAACAATTTTACTGCCAACGCTAACAGAGTGGAGTCAAGCCGGGCAAGGCACTTCAAAAAGGAGCCTGCAGCCAATAACCATGGACTTAGATCGCGAAACAGTGGCTTGATTTGTGGAAAGTACTGATCATCGTAAAATACTTTGCTCGTTTATTTGAATCTACGCTCAATGCAGCAGTAATCTAAGCCAAGGAATTGCTGAAATGTTGAATACCAAAACAGTTCAGACATTCGTGGGCTGACCGAAGAGGCCTGTAAACGACAGTCAGCTTAAATTCGAATGAAGAATTCCGAAACCCGAGGAGTACTTGGAGACCTCGACTCGATTTGGCACCGGTTCACTTCCCACATTGCCGAGAAACCAAACCCGACATTTGTCTGCAGCAAGCCAGGACGAACATTACAAGCTGATATAACCGGACACGGTCTTCTGATTGAAAATAGATGTGGCAGATTTAATATATTTAAGAAAATTCAAGATCAAAACGGGTAGAAGACTCAATAGCCTTTGTATGACTGCTGCGGCCAGTCAGGCCTGGTTGGCCAGGACTGGGGCGTAAATCCGCTGTGTGGTGGCTGAACCACATACTGCTGGTAGTTGACATCGAATCCAGGCTGGCCGCCCTGGGACCCGCTTACTTGCGGCAGGGGGGAAAAAGCGGACCCACTTGGTCCCCCCACAAAGGACTGGTTGGAATTAGGAGCCATGGCCGCGGGCGACGGCTGTGGGAACACTTGACTAGACCACTTGCCCTGAGGAACATTCGGCTGTGCGGTCAGCTGCAGGGGTGCGGAGGCCGCCACCGGTGGCGCTTGTGGAGCAGGAAACGAAGGATTAGAAGCCCACGGAAGCGGCGCTTGCGGAGCCACGTTCACACTGGACGGAGGCGGCTGCGTCTGCACGGAGGTCTGTCCCCAAGGTGGAGCGCCGATTGTAGCAGTGAAGTCTCTATCAGAACTTTGCCCAGCGCCACTATAAGTCATAGCTGATTTTTCGACAGACAGCGGATTCTGGAAAGGCGCTGCCCCCGGGGCATCACCCCAAGCTGTTTTACTGATCTTAGCAGGTTGGGGATAGGCGTTCCCGTTGGGAACAGCGCCTGAAGACTGCGAAAAGCTTCTCTTTTCGCCGGCATGATCAGGGACGGGAATAGCACTTCCCATGGCTGGGCGGGGCCCTGTCGGTGGCAAATTAGAGCCATACTCAGTTACCGGGCCCCGATGAGGCTCGTTATAAGAAGTCTGGGGAACGCTGGAGTGAACTGCGTTACCGCTGTAAGAGGGCCCGTTTCTGGGCGGTAGAGCCATAGGCCCACTGAAATGTGCTACTGGCGCCCCACCTTGGGAATTATGTTGCATAAAGCGTGAATCATGGCTATCTTCTGATCGTCCAAGTGGGCCGCTTCGGGGGTTGAAGCGGTTCGATGGGTAATCTGTAGAAAATGAAGTTGAGACATTCTGCATAACAAAAAGTACGCAAAAACTATCTAAAGGACCATAAAGGAAAGGCAGATACGATACCCGATTCTGGGCATCGGGATAATAAGACGGCATCGACAGACCGCCCGGCTACATCAACAGAGAGAAAACGCCATTGATCATGAGGAAAGTGCAAGGCGTAAATGCGTTTGCTCGCCATAACAGTTACTATTTCGAAAAGGAGTGGCAGTGGTGGATCAAAAGCGGAAGTGGACGCGCCTTCTCGTCGATTAGACGCACCAGAGACAGACGAAAAGGCGACTTGGATGAATTAGTTTACAGTAAGGAAAGCGGTCGCACCACTCACCATACTTTCTCTCCCCACACCAGTGGTAAATGTGAAACTGTACAGGCGCGCAGTGGCTGACATGGCAAAACCCACGCCACGCATGCCACACACCTGTCAAATCCCACATACACACGAACCGGTTCAAAAAGAATTTGGTTAGTTTATATGTCAGTTCCCATAACGGCCACAATTAAGAGCAATTGCAGTCTGGACACAAGTCCAAAAGGCCAAATTACCCAGTCAATTGGTGGCCATAAAACCCACCACTTTCAGTGGGCCTTGACAATCAAAGTAGGTGCCATATCTTTAGTGATGAGTACGCAATGATTAGGCCTTATTTGATTTCCACTTCTACGTCCGGTACTATTTGCAAGTCCAGTTCACGCATACTGGAGGAGACGGGGCGCAGCAAGAGACATGTCGTAAGGTCCATTCAACATTGCAGTGCGGTCCGTCTGACTGCCGCAGGACCGTGTGGCTTCTAGTTAGGTCCAAAGTCACACTCGAGTTCTAGGGAGCAAGAGCCTCTAGTCCAAACGTCACACCAGGCGGGAGCAACCAGGCAAATCATTACTTGTTAGCAAGAAAATCAAGACTACGTTAATGCAGTGATCTGCCACTCACTGGGGTCGCGACAGCAACCAGAGACGAAGAAAAAGCCGTTTGGGAACTAGAACGGCATGCCAAAAGAGCCGGCTGGCGGAACATCAGTAGTAATTTACGGAACTAGGACACACTAAGCACAAGTACTAACTGGGGCAAGTAGCACAGGTACTTACCGTTTCGCCCCCGTTTTGAGAAGCGGCTATGACCACCAGCCATTCGCAGAAGTTGAGGGTTTACTTCCTGGTTAGCCTCCTCCAATATCTCGACCAGATCTGCAGCTTGTTTTGCATTTTTCCGTGTAAAGAATGTAAATGCTGTTCCTTTCTTGTTACTTCGAGCTGTTCGACCAATTCGGTGGATGTAATCTTCCGTCTGATTCGGGAAGTCGTAGTTAACTACATACTCAATGTCATCGATATCTGTGACGCATAAGCAAATTAAAATAGCATACCCAGTCCACGTGAGGCAACATCGGTGGCGACCAATACGGTAATTTTTGCACTTCGGAAAGCTGACAGAGTAACTTAGGAAGCGTAGTTACCTGATAGAGTCGCGTCCCTTTCTCGCTGCGCCTTGTCACCGTGCATAGCGGCGACCCGAAACCCTCGACGTCTGAGAAAGTAGGCAACCTGGTCCGTCCTCTTTTTCGTCTCCGCAAATACCAGACATCGCAGGCCGTGGAATGACTGAATAAGTTCACATAGCCTACTTTCCTTGTCGTATTCATCCATGACATCAACGACTTGGGTAATGTTAGGGTTTGCATGCAGCGATGTGGAGCCAATATTAACTTGGATATAGTCTTTTAGAAAGCTGCGGGCCAATGCCTGAACTTCTTTGGGCCACGTCGCAGACCACATCACAGTCTGTCTGTCTGGGCGGACCTGTTCCACAATTTTCCGGATCTGCGGCTCAAAGCCCATATCAAGCATTCTATCTGCTTCATCCAAAACCAGGTAGGTGCAACGCCTCAAGTTGGTGCTAAAGTTTCCATTACGCAACCGGTTTGACTTACGCGTTTCCTTTCAGGAAATCTATTAAGCGTCCTGGGGTAGCGACGCAAATCTCTGCACCGTGGGTGAGGGCTCTTTGTTGAGGGCCTTTTGATGCGCCACCATAGAGGCAAACGGTCCGTAAACGAGCCGGAGCGCTAAACTCTTCAGCGACTGTAATGACCTGCTGTGCCAACTCGCGCGTAGGGACGAGAACCAGACAGATAGGTCCGTCGTCCCTAAGGAGTCGCGGCTGAGCAAGAATATGGATAATCGCAGGCACCAGATAACACGCAGTCTTTCCAGAACCAGTCTGGGCGATACCCACCACGTCTCGGCCGCTGAGAACCATAGGCCAACCCTGAGATTGTATGGGTGTGGGATTGGCCCAACCGGCGCGCTGAAATGCGCCAGCTATATACGGCGGCAACTCAAGATCGTTAAAGTTGAAAATGGGGCGTGGGATGTCTCTTCCAGACAGAGTCATTCTATTTTCGGCACGAAAGTTGTCAATCTCTTCCTGTGGTCTGCTTGACACGGACGGCAGCTCCCTGTAAAACACCTTCTCGAACCGAGGCAAACTCTCTAGATCCCATCTTGGTGCTTTCAGGTCATCAAAGTTGGAACCACGTTTACGCTTATTCGGCGGACCTCCCCAGCTAAATGCAATTCTAGAAAAGAAATCGTGCTTACCGGCGAATGGGCGATCGTGACTTCATCGGCACTTCACCGGACAATTTGCAGAAACCAAAAGTGCGACCCACTAAAACAACCACTCAGAGAAGATCGGTCATTCACGCTGGTCTAGAGATTTGAACGTAGCATAAATTATTGGTATTGTTCGCAATGTACACATGCCTAGATGTAGGTTAGGAAGTAGAATGCTTGGCCATGACTCTGGTAGCTTTTTGTAATTCTCTATTTCCTTGCCCAGTCGTCCTTTGAAAACATTGTATCAAGTTTTTCACTCAGAAATTTATTTCAAATCCACGATAATTATTGATCCAGAAGAAGTGCTGGAGGGTTAATACATCCTGGAAAATGTGTTTTATAGGCAGGAAATGGCAAACTTCGGAATTAGACAGGTACGGGGCAAACCATACCCGAAGTATAACAAATAGAGAGTGGCTAAGATGCACAGACGTGGACACCGGTGACATCGTAGCATACTTGCGTTACTTGCCGATGTGGAAGATGGCGACCTGGATGCGTTGCCGATCGCGGTGCTGGCAGCTGCTGGACTATGATCTCTTTCGGATGCGCGGTCGACAAAGTGTGCTGGTGAACAAGACGATCTGCGACTTTGATGGCTGGACGAGTCACCGCCTTGTCATCTCCAAAATGGGGCTTCGTCTGCAAGTACGCAGGGGACCGCAAGGTAAGCGACGCCGTTTACATTTCAGCAATCAACTGGCCCAACGCCTGTAAGACCTGCAAGCTGCAGTTGAAAAAGTCTTTGTGGAGGCTCAATGGTGCCATCTGTGCGACACCGTCCATTCGATCGCCCTGAGTGTTCTCGGCCGCGCATGCCGCCAACACTAGGACTGGTTCAACGGAAACCACACAGCCATCAGTAACCTGCTCGCCGAAGAGAGCAGGCTGCATAGAGACGAGCTCGAGGGACCGAACGATTAAAATAAAGAAAACTTCTATCACCGTCGTCGCCCTGTGCAGCAATGTCTGCGAAAAATGCAGGACAACTGGATGGCTCGCAAGACTGAGGAGATCCGGGGGTGTGCCGATCGCAATGAAACGAAGAAATTCTTCGCTTCTCTCAAGGCCACCTACGGCCGCCTAACCAAACGAACCGCACGGCTTCTCAACTCTGATGGATCAACGTTTCTAACGGAGAAGTCGAAGATTCCGAAGAGCTGGACCGAGCACTTCAGAAGCGTCCTCAACCGCCATTCTACAATCTCCGACGCCGCTATCGACGGGCTTTCCCAGGTGGAAATCAACATGGACCTGGACCTCCCCTTCCAGAAAGCATTCGCGCCGTGCAACAACTCTCCAATGGGATGGCACAGATTCTGATGCGACTCCAGCTAAAATCTGCAAGCACGGCAGCCACTGTCTAATGGATCACATCACAACGCTCTTCTAGGAGATGTCGCGACAGGGACAGGTCCCTCAGGATTTCGAGGACGCGATCATCGTCCATCTTCACAAACGCAAAAGAAACGGGTAAGTCTGTGATAATCACAGAGCCATCTCGTTTCCCAACATCGGTGGGATGATTCACGCTCACCTTATCCTCAATCGTCTCAACGGCCACCTTGAGCAAGGACTGATGCCGGAAAGTCACTGTGGATTCCGGCGAAACTACAGGACCACCAACATGACCTTTGTCGCCCGCCAGTTTCAAGATTAGCTTCATGAAATACGGACCCACCCATAAACCTCATTCGTGAATCTGACGAAAGCCTTCGACACAGTGAATCATTAGGGACTGTGGAAAATCATGCAGAAGTTAGGCTGTCCAGAGCGATTCACGCACATGGCACGTCAGACACACGACGTGATGATGGCGCGCGCCACGGACAACGGGGCAATTTCCGAGGCATTTGCAATGACCAATGGAATGAGGCGGGGTTGCGTACTCGCTCCTACCATCTTTGCTCTCAGGATCTCTACTATGGTGGTGGACGCCTGACGAGATGAGCGTCCTGAGATCCACATAGTCCATAGGACTGACGGGCACCTTCTCAACAGCCGAAAAATGTATGCCCCGACGCGTCTCTTAACAGCTTTTATCCACAATCTGCCCTCATCGACGATTGCTCACCCAGCACTACGACTGAGAAAGACACACAGCGGAACATGGACCTCTTTGCCGCCCGGCACGCTCTAAGCCGCCTCAGTTTCGCCTATCGCCGACACCCACCAGAATTCAACTCTGGCCCCCGCGATTTCGAACCCTCACCTCCTCCGCCAGCGTCGAGTTTTGCTGTTCTTGATGTCATCTTCTTATTTCGATCCCAAGCGGTCTGTCAGCGCTCTTGGCGGAACCATCTGAATTCGCCATCTACTAGTAGTTTGGTCGTATATCCCTTGTCCCCTCCTCAGCTGGACTCTGAGCGGAAAGTGACCGATCGCGTCTGGGCACCTCTCGTCTAGCCACCTTGACGTAAATAGCCTCATCCGGCATACGAATTCTGCCTTCTTGATGTTCGTCTCGAACCTAGTATTCAATACCGCATGCAGGCCAGTGCTGTCTGACCCACATACTTGCCCCTTCACGAAATCCGGTACTTTTTGCCACATAAAGACCGGTCTTACCCAGTTTTTCGCCGTTCATCAGCGACAGTTATTTTCTCCTATAATGTTTAACCAGTCATATTCATTTTGTTAACTTGACAGGAGTTTTTTCACTGTTCGCTCATCATTCTTCATAAAGGACTACTTGTTCAATAACTATGAAGTAAGAAGCGTACAGATTCTGTCTACCTGTTCTAAAATTAATGCAAAATTTATTCTCACATGCTATGACCGGACTACCACAGGCCCTGTATAAAGACTATTTATTTTATTTATTTATTTACTTCTGGCTGACCATAAATACAGACAGAACGGTAGTCATGCGCTAACCGTCACTCAACACGGAATACAACTCTCCTCAAATCAATGTCAACAGCAGTCAACTAAAACCGTCAATAACTTTGCCTGTCTGGAAAGCAAACTCTCGTGCAACAAAGCATAGGCGACGATGTTGCCCGTCGGCTCTCCAAAGCCAGCCGGGCCTTCGGCCGATTGCAAGCCTCCATGTGAAATCGCCACGGCCTTCAACTGAAACCGAACTGAAGATTAGAAGGCCGTCGTCCTGACAACCCATCTGCACGATGCGGAAACCTGGACCGTCTACTTCAACCATGTCAGGAAGTAAAATCACTTCCATATCAGCTTTCCTCGCAGAATACTAAAGCTCGGATGGCAAGACAGGATCCCGGAAATGAAAGTCCTAGAAAGAGCCTGATTCCTCCGAATCCACGTCATACTGAGACGACGCAATTATGCTGGAACGACCGTATTGTGGGAGGAAGGATACACTTCTACCAAAACAACCCATCTATGATGATTCCGTCATATGTACTCGCCGACCGGGAGGGCAAAAACGGTGCTACAAAAGACCTTTGAAAAGCTCTCAGAGGTGAAGATCAGCACAGCCATCTAAGAAGAAAACCGGATCATCAACGCCAAAGCCAAGAGGGCTGCTTGCAATTCTTAGGCACCAACGATTCGCGACACCGCCACTCAACCCCACCCAACATGCCCGCGCTGTCAACGGACATTCCGCACGCGGACCGGTCTCGTCGACCATCCTCTAACCCAACACACTAACCGCCTGTTAACGCCAACATGTCCTCCTACATACAACCGTACCATCAATCCTGCAGCAAATCCCGCTACGGCGACAATCACTGTCACCAACAATCACACTGTCACTGCCCCGCCGCCACTAATCACCGACATCACTCACCCTGTTCAGACCCCTGCGTCTATCACAGCGGCCAGCTCAGCCAACAACACGATATCTCTCACTCTTCACACCGATGAGACGACACCCAACGTCCTGTCATCTGCTATCATTGCCATCAACACCCATACCTCCTGCGTTGTGGATTCGGACCGAATCTGTCCTGATTGCAATCGCACATTTACTTCATACATCGACCTATTCGGTTACTTGCGAGTCCATCCCACAGGGAATGGAAAACCAGTACCTGGTGCACCAGCATACACTCGCCGCATTTACCTTCACTACCCACACATATTCATTCATCGCATAGGTTTATTTGGCCACATGCGTCTCCACGAGAGCGGACATAGCCGCAGTATTGACACATCTTTCACACTCACTATACCTAGTCCAATCAACGTGCCATCGCCCAGCACACCCCCCACTAGTACCTCCACCACCACTCTCACCAATTAACCCGACTCCGACGCCCCCGACTAACCCTGCCAACACTGTCTCGGCACTTTCGCCTCGCATGTCCGCCTGGTCGGTCATTTGCGGATATATCGCACGGAGACTGGTGAGCCGGTGTCTGGAGCACTAACATACGACAGCAACACTCGCCTGAACTGGCCGCATTGCCCTCGCACATCTATTCCACGCATGGGCCTAATAGTTCACATGCACATTCATGAAAATTCGCGCTAGATCACCGCCGGCAATACCACACCATTATACGCTCGCCCATTTGCCCTTGCAGTACACATCAACATCACCCATTATCACGCTAAGTGACGAAGCCTGACTGAGCACAACGACATTTTTTGCGCTCTAACTGGGACAACTTTGACGTAGATACCACTTCACAGTTACTGTCTTTGAGGTCGTGCTGGAACTGTACGTATAAGATTACTTTCTGCGTCTTTAGAAATTTTTCTCGCGTGAAAATTTGTCAGAAGTCTGCCTCTAACAGGAATTTGTTTTTCATCAAAATCTAACGGACTGCGGGGTTTATTCGCGCGCAAATATCGGCCTAGGAAAAAAATCCTCCACACCCAGGAAGATCAGGATTTATTCATGGCCTTCGATATAATCAAAACGACTGAGTCGTTCCTCGTCGTGCAAGGTCAAGGTCATGCCGTTGGTTTTAAATTTGAAGATAAGTGGAGGATGTTATTTTAAGTGGTTTTTCTGTGAAACCTAACGATTTTAGCCCTGTTTTTGGTTAAGTTTCCTTAAATACAGGCCTATTCACTCATAACAGCCTGCTGCCATCTCCTTTTCGAGTTCTGCTGATTTGTGCCTGTTGACCACCAATCGCACTCTGCAATTCGCTTTTTGTGCATTCGATTTCTCTGTAACTGTGTAATTTATTTTTATATCGTTAGCGTCTAGCTGAAAGTCAGTCGCCTTGTCTGCCAGAAGTTTTCTTAATCACAAATTGTCTGGAGACAAGATGAGAGTAAAAGTCACAGGTCGGCGTAAGCTCTCGACATCTGTACGTAAGTATGGCTTAACTAAATCTAAGTCAGAAGGCTTAACTAAATCTAATTCAGAAAACTTACCTAAATCTAAGTCAGCAGATATAACTAGTCAGACGTCACCCGTTGTAACCGGTAGGCAGTTTACCCTGTCTGCATTTGACAACTGCAATGATTTTATGCCAAAGTTTGGCACTCTGCTGTCAATTCTCGGTAAATTATTCGACAGGAACATCTCCCATATTCCCTCTGAAGAATGTAGGCGTATTGACTCACTTGTTCACCTGATCCCCAGTGGATCTAGTGATAGACAAAGGCGTGCTTATAACTTTTTGTTAAAAAATGTTCCTCGATCTGCTCGGCCAACTGGTGTTGCGACCAATTTCCTGTATTCATGTGGTTTCAATTACAAAATAGCCGATGCTAAACGCTTGGCCTTTCGTATCAAAAATCCACCTGTCTTAGTCAAATTATTTTCATCAATCGAGGTTGACACAATTTTTGCCCATCGAGATCGTGTCACTGCGTACTTGGAAAATGCAAAATTTTTCCTCTGTCATGATCTTACTCCCATTGAGCTTAGAATCGGGTCTCTCTTCTCACGTAAACCCACAGCTTCTCAGTCTAATGCTTACCAACTCGGTCATAATACAAGTGAGCGTGAGGATTTAGTTGGTCCTACTTCTGCGACATCTAACTCCCTCCTTCCCCTTACTCCTACATCTCCATCTCACTCAGGCCACTTGACGCATTTGCCTACCTCTAAACTAGTAGAAGCAGCAGCGGCAGCAGTCCTATTTGTCGTTTCGTATCCTCCGGATAGCCCCGCTGGGACACATGAAAATACGTCTACATCAGCTAGACCGATAACTTCTCTTGTCCAACAGGGTGCTGTAAGGTCTACAGTTAAGTCACCCGTGGCTTGGCATCAGAACGGTGAGACTCCAACACTGAATCAGACTCCGACCCAAAAGAAAGTTAGTACAGTTCCATTTATGGGTACACTGTCTTCTCTTAGATCTACCAAGCCTTTACAGTCCAGCACGTCTACAAACCCTACAGCTCCAATTATATCCCCAAATTATTCTTTGTTCTGCATACCGGTAACTTACCAAAACCCTATTATATATCCAGCAAATAATTCACACTTAAATTGCCCTGAGTCATTTATGCCCAACCTAGTTCAGGCTTCCCACTACTTAAGGCCAATTGCTCTCAGCTACGTCAACCTACCTCCTTTGACTTCCAACCTAGACCTGGTTACCCACCCTTTCATTCTTATAGCTGCCTACCCTCCCCACTAGCCTCTGCTTTTCTTCTAGGCTCCCACCTCCCCTTCATCCACAATCTAATTACCAACAGGCCTATCCCTGTTCTAACTCCCCTAGCTTTCCAATGCTCGAAAACTATATCCCCACATCCTTCAGGTCTCACGCTCAGCCTCCTCTTGTTGACTTTCCGTACGTCATTAACTCTAGACTAGCTGGTACGTATTCTCCAAGCATCATTATTTCACAGCTTACATATCCGCCTCCAATTTTTTTTAAAAATATCGTCGGCAATAGCATTGCTGTTCGAAACACATTAGATATTATATTCTGGAATGCCAGGTCTGTTACAAACAAGATGGTTCAAATCAGAGCCATTGCTCTCGAAATGACGCCTGATATTATCTGTGTAACAGAATCTTGGACCCATTCCCTTATTCCTGACTCTACCCTTCTCATAGATGACTTCGATTTTTACCGTCCGGACCGCACGACTAGGCGTTGGGGCGGTTGTCTTCTTTATCTTAAACCCTACCCAAAGCACTCTCCCTATTACTTGCATGTTTCCTCATTCACGGGAAACTTCTGCTTTGCATCTGTTATTCCCTCGCCGCAAAGAAAGGCAACTATTGGCTGTATCTACAATCCCCCAAATTATTTGGCCAGTGATGATTCACAACTCTGTGAAATCTTTAAATTAAGTTCGGAAGCTGCTTTCGATGTTAAAATAATCACTGGGGATTTTAACCTTCCTGAAATAGACTGGGTTTCCAAAAGCTGTCTACCCAGATTCCAGCCCTTTCAAGATATTGTCAATTTTTCTAACTGGTCTTAACTGGTGCGCTCGCCAACAAGAGATAATCACATTTTATATCTAATCTTTACCAGTGAAATTGCTCCTACTTTGTTGCTTTTAAAAAGGCCCTCTTTGACAGTGACCACGTATTAATTCATTGTTGCTTTCCGCATGCCTTTTCAAAAAAGACCAGCACCGTTCGGACTTACCTAAGCTACGATTGCGTAGATAACGACTTAATAAATAACTGTATTAGATCATTGGATTGGTGTGGTTTCCTCTCCTGTAGCGATTCAACCATTCTTCGAGACGTCATGTCCAATGTTTTCGACGACATCCTAGAGTTTGTGCCGCGTAGATATCTGAAGCCTAATTCTTCAGATTCCTTGTTCCTCATTTTCTTCACAACAGGCTAAAAACTTTGAGACGGCAGCTGCGTGACCTATCCACTACTTCCTTATCAGTTCATCTTCGAATCACAGAGATTTTTGAAATGACCTCAAGAATGCGTCAGGCGCGCGACAGGCAAAGAAAATCACTTGCCCTCAGTGATCCGAACCCTGACAAATCCGTCGCTAACATCTTTCGTCATCGGTTTTCCTCTAAGCGCGGTCACGAACTTCCACCCCTGCTAAATGATAACAAAGTCTTCCTCATCGATGATACTGACAAGGCGGAGTTCATTATTGCTTTCTTTGCAAAACACCTTAATACCGAGTCGGAACCGGTCCCGCTCTTTTGCTCACTGTCATATAGGACACGGAGTACAATCGATGTCTCCTCAGATCTCATTAAGAAACACATAAGCCGTCTGAAACATTCACACTGCTCAGGAACAGACGGGATTCCAAATCCGATTATTACACAAGAATGCGACCTTCCCATATTACTTAGTCATTTGTTCTAGGTTTATATTTCAAAAGGATTCTTTCCTGAAACATGGGAAACGTCAATTATCATTCCCGTCTTCAAGTCTGGATCTCGGTCCGATGTTAATAACTATCGGGGCGCGCACAAAACGCTGCCTCGAGCAAAGCTTCTTGAAAGGATTATTTTCAATGAAATTCTTGACTTCTGTCTAGCTAATCGGCTTCTGAGCTCTAGTCAGCATGGATTTTTACCTGAACGATCCTGCGAAACATGTCACTTGACATTTCTTAATCTAATCACTTCTCTTCCTTATGAGCGGCAGTCAGCGGTAGTTATCTACTTTGATTTTAGCAAGGACTTTGACATGATGCCCCATAGACGTCTTTTAGTAAAATTGGAAGCTCTCGGCATCCGGCCACCTCTACTCGACTTAATCAGGTTCTATTTGTCTAACCGATATCAGAAAGTCATGGTCAGTAGTATCTACTCGACACCTCACTCGATCACAAATGGCGTAATTCAAGGCACGGTTCTGGGTCCGCTACTCTTCCTTCTGTACATCAATGATATTTCGAATGAACTAGGAAATTCGCAAACGTTTACTTTTGCCGATGATCTCAAGTGCATTCACTCATATTCTAAGGACACCGAAAATATTCGTGTTGAAAAAATTAATGCCGATTTACTACGCTTAAGCAGATGGGGTTCAACATGGCAGATGGAGTTTTCATCATCCACGTGTAGTTTCATGTCTTTTGGTCCTGCCAATATTCCTGGTCCCATAATTTTTCAGAATAACCCACTTACAGAATGCTTTACCATAAAGGACCTAGGTCTAAGTTATGTAAATAAACTTGCTTTATCACCTCATGCAGACAAAAACTGCAAAATACGCACACATATGTGGATTCATATCGCATAATTTTTTCCTTCCGGAAATGAAGCTAAGACTTTACTAAATGTCTGTTTTTCCAGTCCTCCAGTACGGCTTTCCGTTCTTTGGTTTAATGTACGCCTGTGACCGATATAAAATCGAAAATGTTCAGTGGGTTTTCCCCAGAA